TGGACTGACTCCAGGGTTAAAACTAGAAGCACGCCACACTTTTCAGCTGGTTAGTGACAAATGGTTTTCCTTCCACCAAGTGTTCCTGATCGGCTCCTCACCTCCTACTGGCTTCAGCTTGGGGATTCCACCCGTGAAAAGGCCTCCGATTGGAGTAGTGGAGCTCGACTTACTTCCTGCCACGCTGCCATTGGCTCCTGCGGTGGCTCCGCCTCCTCTGGGCTCTGGGGACCACAACCACAGACAGGTGAGAAAGGTTTCAGCCTGGTGAGGGCGCTGTGCTCTACGATGGGTTAGTGTGAGGCGGGATGCGGGTGGAGACGGTGAGGTGGGATGCAGTGGGATGAGGCGGTGGTGAGTGAGACGGTAAATTAAAGTGTTTACGCTCGCACGCCGCTCCGATGACATCATCGCCAGCACAAACAGTCAGAAACATGTTAAGAATCAGTGACATCACAGGTGATCAGAGAGCACAGGAAATCAAAATACAACAACTGAGCCCCTCCCACTCCTGCTCAGGCCCCGCCCCCACAGGGCTGCAAATTTCAAAATAAGAGCATCAACATGAATCACTAACAGGAAGGATTTTTCTGAGATGTTTATAAGAAGGAAGGGATGCGTGTTGATACACATAATTTTATTGAAATTATGTGAAACATAAGAAATATATATAAAAAAGCTATTATTCAAATAAAAATATTACTTAATCTGATGTTGAGACACAGGATTACCCCTTATCTTCTTAAAGTGCTGGTGTCATGTGTTTCCTAAACTCATTAGTAACTATATTATTACCTTCTGTTGGTACAAAAATGCTGTACATACCAAATATGACTTAGAAAATTGGCTTTGTAATTTAAGGGACTGGAATTGAGTTTCTGTCTCTTTAAAAAACTCCTGCTCTTTCTGAGGAGTTGCTCTGAACAGTAGCTGCTGTCATGAGCTCAGCAGTTCCTCCAGGTGTTTGCTAATTCCTGCTGGCTAGTTTGTAGGAGCAGAGCGGGGGAAGAGCTTTGGCTCTGTTTTGCAGCTTAATGGTTGCCATGGAGATTTAAGGCTTTCTCAAAAATGCATGAAAGGATCAAAGCAGGAAATAACATTAAAACATGATGGAAAGATAAAAAAAGACTTTACAGAAAACTTTTCCTTTTTAAAGTGATTTCTACAAGATTTCTGTAGCCAATCATTGTTGGCGATTTAGAAATGGCCCCAGCAATGCTAACTGAGCTTTTCCTGAAGCACACTTTAAACTAACAGCAGCTGCAGGAAGCTGCAGCGTCTGGCTAAGCAGCCGCTCTGTCACCTGTCCACCTGCTACACACACACACACACAAACACACACACACCTGGGCTCAAACTCAGAGACGTCGGTAGAAAACGGAGAGAAACAGGAATGGATCAGATGAGGAAAGAGAGACAAACAGGAAACATGGACGACAGTGTCGGCGCTTCACGGGTCGCTGCGTGTTTGGTGTGTGTCTGTGTGTGTGTGTCTGTGTGTGTGTGTGTCTGTGTGTGTGTGTGTGTGTGTCTGTGTGTGTGTGTGTCTGTGTGTGTGTGTCTGTGTGTGTGTGTGTCTGTGTGTGTGTCTGTGTCTGTGTGTGTGTGTGTGTCTGTGTGTGTGTGTGTCTGTGTGTGTGTCTGTGTGTGTGTGTGTCTGTGTGTGTGTCTGTGTGTGTCTGTGTGTGTGTGTGTCTGTGTGTGTGTGTGTCTGTGTGTGTCTGTGTGTGTGTGTGTGTCTGTGTGTGTGTGGGAGAGAGACAGCGTGGCGCCTCCCATCATGGATCCAGGGCCCTCATTGTTGTATTGTGCCTTAAGAAGTCACAATACAACAAAATACAACAAAAATTCAGTCATAATATTTCAAGAATTAAGTCATAATAATAGGAGAACCGTCAAAAGATGAAAACAATTCAGATATTGCATTATTTTGAGTAAAAGTTATAGTATTGCTGGAATCAAGTAGTCATTTCCAACACGGAAAATAATTGAAATGTAATAGTTTTATATTACAATAGTTTAAATGGGATATAATTCATCTTCATCAGCATCCAAATATTATGAGCAGAACTTTGAAACGACTGAGCGCGTTAAGAAGAAAGAACTGGAAATCTTTTTAAAACTTTGTCTCGTAGTTTGTGACATTATTCTGTTGATATTATGACTTTATTCACGAAATAAAAAATGTTTTAGTCCAACCCTGATTTTCCATTGCAGTGCCATGATTGGCTGTCCAAGGGCAACTATGTTTTATTTTTACTTGGTCAACATTCAGCCTCAGTCATGTGACCCTGAGGTCATGTGACCTGCCCCCCTCTCCCTGTGGACGCTAGCGGCTGATTAGCCCTGAGCGCAGCCTCCTGCAGCCAGTCTAAAGCATGTCAGAACACAGAGGTCTTACTGTGGAGGGACGGAGAGGAGCTTGGTCCTCCAGCCTTCTTCTGGGCCTCCTCAGACAGCGCCCCCTGCTGCTTGGGCTGGGTCTGGCTTAGGTACTGGTATAAGCGAATGTATGGGTGCTCTGTGGGAGGTGTTTGGCTCTTTGGTGTTTGAGTCTTACTGTCGAGCAGAGGAGCGCTGCGGTCGTTCACTACCGCCACCTTCTTCAGCTTGGTGCCTTTGCAGATGTCCGACAGCAAAGCGCCGCGACCTTTGACCTCCTCCCTGTTCAGCTTTGGAGGGGTGGTGTTGGCCTGAGGGGGGAGAGGCGTCAGTGTTTTGATGACAGCTGCTGCTGTTCTGAGGATGTTTGGAGTTTAACCTCACCTGGCTGAAGGTGGGGGGGGGAGGTGGCCCTCCTGGGGAAGGGAGAGGGGGCGGGATGGGCATCCTGCTGCTGAAAACACCTGGAAGACAACAACCTGTCATCAGCAGAACCTTTCCTCCGCAAACCCATCATGTCAATAAAATGACCTGTGCCGGTTAATCTGGATTGGACTCCCTGATCCACCGTTTATTAGATCCGTTTTAGGAATGAAAACTTAGAAAGACTCGTTCAGTACCGGAACCATGTGGAACCGGTTCTTTAAACTGGTCCAGTCACACCCAAACAGACGGACTCAGACGCACATTGCATCTTCTTCTGGTCCTTCTGTTTTCCTTCAGCTGCAGTTAGCTCCATTAGCATGATGCTAACATAGGCCTGATTCTGCGTGACGTTCGGTTAGCATCGGCGATGATAAGCACTTTAAATGTTAAGCACTTTAAATCACTAGAAACTACTTATATCCGCACCAGAACCATCCAACGTTCGGTTCAAAGCCTCTCTGTGCTTTTAGCCGGGGGAGCTAGCCGCTAGCTCCGCGGCTAGCTCCCCCGGCTAAAAGCTAACCGCAGCATCACCGTCACACCTGCACAGGTGAGATGGGCTGCTCCTACCTGAGAGCCTGAACGCCTCTCCACCGGTTAGCTCATCCTCCCAGCTGTGGGTCTGTGGGTTAACAGGCCTAAGCTCGGTCCGGTTCGGTTCGGTCCGGTCCGGACGCTATTGAGAACACCGCTAGCTTGAAAGCTGCAGAGCCAACACGAGGTCACGTGATGTCAGTGTCTCGCTACTGAAGCTGATATTTATTTTGTTTTGTTTTTTCAACTGCTTTAAAAATTCATGCTATTTTAAATAAAAAACATTTTTATCTATTATTATTTGTCATTTTTTGTTGAGTCTGATTTTTGATTTGATCAATTTCACTTCTATTGCTGCAGCTGTTCTTGTTAATTTTTTATTTCATTGGTTTTGTTTATGACAGACTGTTCATAGAATCTAACAAGGACGAAATAGACAAAGATTGCTGTAAAAGCAGAAGTGTAATATATATTGCATGTTCTCCCTGTGCATGGTGGGTTCTCTCCAGTCCAAAAACATGACTGTCAGGTTAATTGGTCTCTCTAAGTTCTCCCCAGGTGTGTGTGTGTGTGTGTGGGTGTGTGTGTGTGTGTGTGCGCGCGCGCATGGTTGTTTGTCCTGTTCGTCTCTGTGTTGCCCTGTGAAAGACTGGTGACCTGTCCAGGGTGACCCCAGCCTCACACCCAGAGCACCAGCACACTTCCCGACCCCATTATAAGGGACAAGGGTAAACAGAAAATGGATGGATGTGTCTGTCTCTCTCTCTCTCTCTTGAGTAGAGATAAGAAATAAAAAGCTCAGAAAGCTTTTCAGTTCGTCATATAGATCTTTTGTCTAATGGAAAATGTTCTCCACATTAATTCGAGAAGTCACGATTTTAACCAATGACTGAAAGTTATTATAAAAAAAATAAATCCATTATTAAAAATGAGAAATTAAAACTCATAGGAACATGTTTACACATTCCTTATTAAGAAACTAAAAATACAATCAAATTTATTATTAATAAAAATAAACAAAAAAGCTTGAAGAAAAAATTGAAAAAGTATGAATACTAAAATAGACGAAGATAGACAAACTTTACTCCCAAAAATCTCCTGGGAAACTAGCCGCGAATGATGATAGTTAAATTCTTTTAAAATATAATTTCCTGTCTATCTGGCGTTTTACCCCCCAGTCCAGTAGGTGGCGGTAGGAGACCTCCACGCTGGTTGCCCACCGCTTGAAAAGTATTCAAAAAAAGTTGGGGAATGTATGAAAGGTAAGAGGAATAAAAAGAGGAGGATATCATATCCAGATTAAGATTTGGGCATGCGGATTTAAATAGTACTTTGAAAATAATTAACAAACATAGTACAGGTATGTGTAGATATTGTGAAAAGTCAGAAACAATACAGGAATTTTTTTTAGAATGTAATAAATATACTCAAGAAAGAGAAATGTTAGTCAGAGAGTTAAATAGGAATGAAACTAAATTGGATATTAGAAATTTGTTACAAAAATCGTCCGAAGATGTAGTATTCAACAGCATATTTAGCTTTCTTAGGAGGACAGGTATTATGGAAAGATTATAGTGGTTATACATCTGGTCCATACTCCAGTCTGGAAGGTGGCGGTAATGCACCTAAAAGTAGTTTGCCAACCGCCATAAAACAAAAAGAAGAAGAAGAAGAAGAAGAAGAAGCGGGGAGATTTGAAAACAAAAATGGCGGAAGTTCGGCGGTGAGATTTGAAAATCTTGCAGATTGTTGTTAAAAAATTATTTAATTTTAATGACTTTTAACTTCCTGATATACAAGAATTATCTGTGAAATGATCTTAAGCATAAAAAAAGGCATTTTTCTTATTCCCGGTCCGCTTTCGTCTGAAACTGACTCTCTGTTTCTGTCGGCCAGAGTTCTGGAGCGCTGTGACCCGGTCCTGCTGCAGCCCTGCGGGGAGCCCGAACCGGACTGCGCCGAGGCAGCAGGAACGGTTCTGTTCCTCACGGTCAGGTCCAGGCATTCATGGAACACCTTAGGCCTGTGGTTCCGAACCCAAATCTCCTATATCAGGAGATTGTGCTGTGAAATTATCCCCCTCAACAGAATAATTTTAAGATGTTCAATTCAAGACCAATAATATGTTGATATTCAGAGGGACACAGAGAGTTTGTTTGTGTTGGAGCTTTTGGGTTAAAATCTCTAACCTTGTGAGGACTGATAAATGGAGTTTGTGTTAAAGCTGTTAACATGTAGAAATACAAACTTGTGTGTAGGAGAGTCGACGAGTCCAGAAGGTTCTGTGGCGTCAGCTGTTTGTTCTGGACTCCATGATGTTCTTACTGAAAGGCCTTGAATCTGCCCAGCAACTGATGACACTGCCCTGTCCCCAGCCACCTGGTACACGCACACATTTACTTTTGAAGTTTTACTGAAATGTGTTGGAATCAATGAAATCACCTGCCCTTTACACAGAGCACAGGGCAGGTGTGTATTTACCTCTGTGTGTGTGTCAGAGGGCGGGGCTCGCAGCAGGTGGAAGGCTCTGAAGGCGGAGACCAGGTCAGGGATGGAGAAGGCGGAGTCGCTGCTCAGATCCCTGCAGGATAGAGTCCAACAAGTCCAGCACAGGAGAGAGCGAGTCACAGCGCTGCTGCAGCTGCTGCACATCAAGGTAGACACACAGAGAAATGCACACAGCGCTGCTCTGTCCAGATTGTTCTCATGCCCCGCCCCTTTTCCCCTGCAGCGGCAGCATCAGGATCAGCTCATTGTGTCGCTGCTGAAGGCCCAGCATGCTTTGCAGTCATGTGACCGCCAGCTGGAGAGGCTGAGGGCGCAGTCAGAGGCGGCGCTCCGTCAGCTAATGTCGTGGCGAGGGCTCAGAGACCTGTGAGTAGATGGGTCACATGACTGGTGAGGCGAGAGGCTCTGATTGGCTGTTAACTCTTACTTCCTGTCAGGCTGCAGGTATACGCCACCGCCACACAGGAAGTGATGCAGATCCAGCTCATCTCTGTTGACCAATCAGAGCTGCTGTTGGAGATCAGGCCCCACCTCTCTTCCCAGCTGTCAGCCAATGAGCTGCAGCCACCAAGGCTGGCGGTCCACTGGTGCCATGACAACAGATTCACCCTGCAGGTAAGGCTTAGACCTTTAAATGCTGCTGCTGATGTCACTTCCTGTTGATGTGACCAGGTGGTCTGCGTCTGCAGGTGGGGGAGGAGTTAGCCGGGCAGGTGGAGGGTTGTGGGTCGGGACGTCGCAACGTGCTGAGCGCCACCCTGCTGGACGTCCTGCAGAGCTACACGGGCCTGGCGTCACTGCTGGCTGAGATCCACAGCCTCAGGGCCAGGTGAGGCCACGCCCCCTGCCCCGGGGCCACACCCCGGGGCCAGGTGAGGCCACGCCCCTCCCTGGGGCCAGGTGGTCCTGCTGTGTCGTATCTGATGTTCGGCGCTCTGTTGCAGCTTCGCCATCGACTGGTGCCCGGCGCAGCGCCTGCTGGTTTACCTGAAGTCGGCGGCGCTGGTTTGCCACCTGCAGGTGGAGGACGGCTACCCAGCAGCCGGGTCGGCCCAGCTCAGCTCGGTGCTGCGGGACGGACGGCCAGTGGACACGCAGAGACTGAAGGTACCGTGATTGGCCGCTCTGTGAGCCAACAGGAGGGTCTCTGTGCCGTCCAATCAGACGCAGCTACAGCGTTTAGATGTCAAACCATTTAGAAAGAGTTTCAGCAAATTTGTCATGTGATTCCAGATTATTCTGAATTATTGTTGAGATTATTGGATAAACTGAGTTAGATTATTGATCTGATTGGTTTCTTTGTTTCTGTCTTCCAGCCTCGTAAAGCTGAACCCTCTCTGACCGACTGGCTAGTTTTCCTCTGCAACAGTCCGCTGGTCTAAAGGAGGGACAAGCTGTCCCCCAGTCTGTCCTCCAGTCTGTCCCCCACTTTGTCCCCCAGTCTGTCTCTCAGGTTTTTCTCCCTTTTCTTTTTGTGGTACTTTGATATAATAAAATAAATTCTATTGCCATAGTAAATGGTTAATTTTTCACACATAAAATATTCTAATGTTTCAATTTTGTGGGGGGAAATTATCCATCTACATTTACTTATCTATATCTATTTAGATCCATATGTTATAAAAATACTTACGTAGATTTATGAACATATATAGTTAGACACTTAATATTCTGTGTTGAGTAATTTGTATATATTTACACATATGTAATCTAGAATACAACATTTCAGTAAAATCCAAAAATTTTAAATGGTATATAAAATCAAAAATACTTTGAATTAAATTAGTCACTAGAGTTTTTTTTCTAAATCACACAAATACAATGACAACTAAACCATAAAACCTCCTAAATTATTGGATACATAATTTGGGGTCCATCCATCATCTGAATTTAAGTATCTTATGGTTGAAACTATTAACAGTAAACAGACTGAAGCTGTGATTCTGCAAGCCGCCACCAGAAGCCGCTGTTCGCCGCCGCAGCTCTGAACTTGGAGCTGAGGTTCATGCATCACCTGATCTGATGATGTCGCAGATCAGGTGAGCACGTGCAGTCATGGAGTCACGTGACCAGATGCAGTAAATTATTACTGCAGGTAAATACAGTGTGGTGGTCTGCGTCTGCTGATTTCAGCAGGAAACTGACTCAAAGTTTAGCTCGGCTCCACTTCCGGCCAGCTGGCGCCTGATTGGTCGGAGTGAGCGACCATCCATCAATCATCCATCCATCTATCAATCATCCATCCATCCATCTATCAATCATCCATCCATCCATCATCCATCCATCTATCAATCATCCATCCATCAATCATCCATCCATCATCCATCCATCCATAATCCATCCATCAATCATCCATCCATCCATCATCCATCCATCAATCATCCGTCCATCCATCATCCATCCATCAATCATCCATCCATCCATCATCCATCCATCCATAATCCATCCATCAATCATCCATCCATCAATCATCCATCCATCCATCATCCATCCATCAATCATCCATCCATCAATCATCCATCATCCATCCATCAATCATCCATCCATCCATCCATCATCCATCAATCAATCAATCATCCATCAATCATCCATCCATCATCCATCAATCATCCATCCATCAATCATCCATCCATCAATCATCCATCCATCAATCATCCATCCATCAATCATCCATCATCCATCAATCATCCATCCATCAATCATCCATCCATCCATCAATCATCCATCCATCAATCAATCATCCATCCATCATCCATCAATCAATCCATCCATCCATCATCCATCAATCATCCATCCATCATCATCCCATCCATCAATCATCCATCCATCAATCATCCATCCATCATCATCCATCCCCATCATCATCATCCATCATCCATCCATCCATCAATCATCCATCCATCCATCAATCCATCCATCAATCATCCATCCATCCATCATCATCCATCAATCATCCCATCCATCCCATCCATCCATCCATCCATCCATCAATCCCATCCCATCCCATCATCCATCCATCCATCATCCATCCATCCCATCATCCATCATCCATCCCATCCCATCCATCCATCAATCATCCATCCATCAATCATCCATCCATCATCCATCCATCCATCATCCATCCATCAATCATCCATCAATCATCATCCCTCCATCCCATCAATCATCCATCCATCCATCAATCATCATCCATCCATCCATCATCATCCAATCATCCATCATCCATCAATCATCCATCCATCCATCCATCAATCATCCATCCATCATCATCCATCCATCCATCAATCATCCATCCATCAATCATCCATCCATCCATCATCCATCATCCATCAATCATCCATCCATCCATCAATCATCCATCCATCAATCATCCATCATCCATCAATCATCCATCCATCCATCAATCATCCATCCATCAATCATCCATCCTGCTCATCAGGATGTTAACCAGTTTTAGATTTTCCTGTCATTATTTCGTTGACCCTTGATTTCATTTTCAGACTTTTTGTAATGTCTGATAAAAAGATTTAGCTGATCGTGATTGATCTGTAAAAGCTACTAAAGGGAAACAAATCCAAAGTGGATCATATTTCTTATAGGCACTGTATGCAGTTTTTAATTTGACTTCTTTTTCTATGTCTGGATTTCAGTTCTCAAATGGAGATTGTTACTAATTCATCAGAATTTTTCATTTCACATTTTATTATAAAAATCATGAATTAAACTGTTTGGTGTTTTGCTTTTTTGAGGCAGGCAAAGCGGTGAAAGCATGAAATGAGTCAGATCAACATCTTCAGTGAGAATTTATGGAATTGGTTCAATGGTTTTCCAAACATTAAAATATAGACATGAGAAGATTCCCTGCATCAACACTTTGTGCCTCTGCTGCTCATCCAGAGGCTTCAGCGTTTCACACAGACGAGTAACAAACAGCAACACTTCAAGTATATGTGGATCTTTCAGTATTTACAGGTATTACAGGTCTCAGCATCCCGTCGTCTCATTGGTTCACGGATCTGCCTCCTCTCCTCATTGGCTGCTCTGGTGCCGACGGGGCGGAGCTAATCCCTCAGAGCGAATGGAAGAGGTGAACCTGAAGCACCAAGTGCTGGAAGTCTGGATCTGCGGCGCTCCTAAACATCTGGATGAGCCGACCTGCTGACAGGTGCAGATGTTTTGTGAGCAGGAGAGTTTTGGAAGAGGATTTTTGTTTGCATCCAGCTGCTCTGGAGGACATCAGGGATGATGACGATGCTGCTGCTGATGGTCTCAACAGGAAGTGGGAATGTATGATGGTTTGGATCAGGTGAGCAGACCCTTATTTTGGCGGGCGCATGCATCTGTTCCACCGGTGTGCTGTGAGGTGTCAGGGGTCGATGCGGAAGGACAGCAGCTTCTCTGAGTGCATGTTGTTGAGCGTCCGCAGATCGGGCAGCCGCAGCAGCAACTTGGTGAAGCGCGGCGAATCCATCGTGGGTGGACCGCTGCCGCCGGCCGTCTTGTTGACCAGACGGCGAAGCGTCCGGATCAGGTTCTCCTGCAGATGCTCCACAGACGGCAGGTTCTCGATGCCGGACCGATCTGTGAAGGAATGACGGCAGTTAGGTCACTGACATCAGTTACCTAGCAACCGGAACCCATAAGTTAGCAACCAGCTTTAGACAAGCTAACAAACTAGCGACTGCTAACCCTCGTTCATCCAATGTCATTCTTAGCCTAGCTTAACAGTGCAAACATTCAGCAGAAGAAGAAGGCTATCCATTAGCTTAGGAATGCTCCAAAGCTCATGCTAGCTCATAGCTTGTTGCCTCTCTGTCATTAGCCAGTGCTAGCAATTCCAGTGACTGGCCAGGATGACAAACAGCACCCAATCAAAGGTAGTAGCCACCGCTGGATGCGCAGCAATCTCAGTCTAGTTTGTTTGGGAATATGGTCACTTAAAACCTAAGGATGCGGTACCAACTGCATGGCAATGGCAGCACCATGCTGCGGGCTTTTTCATTGCAAATCAAAGTAGTGCAAAAGGAGGACGGCTATTAGCTGGTTGGGAGACACCTGGGGTCCAGGAAGTGACCAGGCGTGTTGACGCTCACCTGCGGACACCAGCACCACGGCGGTAAACAGGCCTAGCTCTTCGGCGCTCAGTGCCAGCGAAGCTAGCTTCTGACTGAAGTCAAACATGGCTGCCAGCAGCTCGTTCATCCCCATCGCATGGAGCTCCTCCAAAGAGTAGGTGGCGCCAGAGACAAACATCACCGTCTGTTCCTTCATGTTGAACAGTGACGAGAAACGCACCATCAGCACCTGGAGCGAGAAGAAACAAACGGTTCTATATTTTATCTAGAAAAACAAGAACATAAAATGTATAATAAATGTAAAAATGTTCTCTCAGTGTTTCCCTCAATTAGGCAAGAATCACTAACTTTAAATAATTATTAGGAGTCTATTTACTAAATGACTCTTAAACTCTCTTGGTTAATAAGTCAAATAAATATGGATTTGGCTAACAGTAGCTAACTTTGACAGCTAATGTAAATCAGCTAATATTAAGTTGTGATTGATGTGATGCTCATGTAGGCTAACATGTTAGCTGATTACAATTTGTTTCATGTAATCAGTTTTTGCTGTACTAATGTAATAGCTAGCATTTAATATAAGCTAGCAGTTAATTTTATATTGCATTTAAAAATATGACTTTTTTGCAATGATGTATTGATGAACAGAATCTCTTTAGATTCAAGTCAGGCTAACCTTAGCTAAGACAAGTTGTTTTTGTGAGGCTAACTTAAAATCAGAAGGTAGAAGTAAAAACTTATGAATTCTTAAATCATGACCCTGACGTCTGTGATGACATCACGGTTTACCTCGAAGGTGCCTGCTTTCAGGAGGGTGACCTGGTCGTTCTGGGTCAGAGCGTTGAATCCTGGGATGTTCTTGGCAAACTCCACTACTTCCCTGACAGCGGGCGTGAATGACAGCGAGAAGTCCTCCCAGATCTCGTGGGGTGTCTTTAAAACGTCTGCATGGGGTTGCGAGTTCATTGGACAGGCCTGGGAACGAAACAATCCCGTTAAGCTAGCAGCTTAGTAGAGATTAAGCTAGCAACAGTTTAAAGTGGTGAAGCTAGCAGCAGCAGTTAGCGATGGGCGCTAGCATCCCAGGTCTTACCAGAACAATCCCAGAGCGAGTTTTTGGTGGACAGCTCTGCCTCTGGGTCACATGACTCTTTCCTTCAATCACGTTGCTGGAATGCTGACTCCACCCCTTGTTGCCATAGTGATTGCTGGTGTTGTTGGGACCCTGTTGCAGGAAGCAGTCCTTGGTGTTTTTCTTATTATTGTTTTTGCTGAAACCGTTCCGAATGCGGTTTGGACAAAGCTCCGCCCCCGCATGGTTGCGGTGGGCGGGGCTAAGCTGCGGATCGCTCAGCTTGTCGTGTGCATACAGGAAGGTTTCACGGTGCGCACAGGCGATGGCGCTGATGGTGGAGTCGATCCCAGGGCTGGGGGGCGGCGAGGAAGGTGGAGGAAGAGGAGGACACGGCTGGGGGCCGGTGGCGCCCTCTGTTGAGGAAGAGGAGGAAGACGACAGGCTGGCGAGCTGGAAGTCGCTCTGCAGCTGGTCGTTCACCATGTTGTTCATGGCGCTCCGCATCTCCGCCAGCATCCGCTGCTTCTCACGCTTCGGGATGCGGCCGAAACGCACAGCTGCAGAAAGAAGAGGAGGAAGGTGAGAGCAGGAAGGGGGCGGAGCCTGGAGACACCCTGGACAGCTCCCCCGGTGGACAGGTGAGGTGTCACAATCTACCAAGTATCTTTGACAAACTACAATAACTTGTAAAAATTAAATCATTTTTAAAAATAAATGAAAATAAATACAAAAATCATTTATTAAATATAGAATTAATGAATTGATTAGTTGTCTTGATTTGTTGAAGTAGCCAATCAGGCATCAGGGTTTCCCCTGGTCCCGCCCACTGAGTTTAGCGGCTGAAGTGAACAGTTCAAATTAATTCACGATTCAGAGCAGGAACATGAAATCCTTTACGCAATCATAAAATAATTATACAGAGTTTTTAAAAGAGAATCAGATCATTTAATTGCGACACATTAATTCTATATTTAATGACGTTTCACTCAATAACTGTTTTTGAGGGAAACGCCGTGGTCTGTGACTCCACTCACCGTCTCGGCTCATGCCCACAGAGAGGCACTTCCTGAAGCGGCACTGCTGGCAGCGGTTCCTGTTGGTCTTCATGATGCTGCAGCTCTCGTTCTTCACACACTTCTTGTACTGGATGTTCTGCTGGATGCTGCGGCGAAAGAAGCCTTTGCATCCCTCGCAGGCGTGAACGCCGTAGTGGAAGCCGGACGCCACGTCTCCACAGACCTTACAGAGCAGCACCATGCCGTTCAGCTCTGGAACAAACTGGACCGTCAGGAAGCGCAGACAGCTTCACGTGACAGTTAGCTTCGCCACAGCGCCGCCACCCAGTGACATCACCGGGTGACATCACTGGGTGACGTCACTGGGTGGCATCACCCAATCAAACATCAGCAGCAAAAACACTGTCTGGGTTTCAATTGTCCTTCTGATGAGCTGAAACCAAAAAGCACATTGGTTTTACTCAATCGGGTCAATTTTCTGACCTATGGAGCAATATGAGCATCAAAATGCATTTGTTGTTTTCACATGTGGATCCTGAGGATCAATGATATTCCCCATGTAATTAACCTCATCAGTGTTTATTAATCCAAGTTTGTAACATTTTTTATGAAAAACCTTTCTTTCTCCTAAAACCTGTTTCGGATTAAATGAATCAATTATGTCACAAAAATCAATTCGGTCAGAAGATGGGATTAGAATAAAACCTGCCTGAGAAACATGGAGGCCGTTTTTGGGTTCACGCTGCAAAGTAATCCAAGTTCAGTTGAAAACAACATAAAACATGTTTAATAACCAACAGTTATTTGGCCTGAGAGAGAATTGATGTTGATTTTTATTATTAATTCATTTGTAAATGTCACAGTTCCAAAATAAATATTCAGTGAGCAAACTAAGTTTTTAGCCCCAAACCAAATATTTAGTCAGTATGCAAAATATTCACCTGCAAAATAAATATTTTGTTCCAAACTAAACTTTTAGTCAGCAAACTGTTGACTAAATGAATAATAGATATTTAGTTTACAAACAATTTGTAAACTAAATTGTTTGTAAACTTTCTATTTAGTTTGTAAATGAATGAAAATAAACCTCCATTTTCTTTCAGGATAAATAAACCAAATTATTGCTGCTGATGTTTAACTGCCTCACAGGAAACAGGAAACGGATCCATCTTCACCACTTACTGGTCAAACTGGCCACGGACTTGCTGGGCGACGCTCTGTGAGGCCTGGTGGCGTCAGAGGCGTCGTCCCGGCCCCGCGGAGAGCCGCCCGCCGAGGAGGAGGAGCCGTCGCTGCTGAGGAAGGACGGCAGCGAGGAAGAGGAGGAGGTGAAGCCGGAGTTCTCGCTGTCCATGGAGTCCGGACTGGCCCCGGAGTCCGGACTGGCCCCGGAGTCCGGACTGGCCCCGGATGGGGAGCCTCCGCAGGAGCCCACGTAGGAGATGACGCCCCCTGCCGGAGGACAGAGGCCTGCAGGTGAGCATCGGCCTGTTTCCATGGCAACTTCCCAAAGTATTCACACCTTGGTCCAAACACAAATTTCAAAATATTTTCAGGAAAGTCAGACTTTTTGAACAAATTAAATCTGAAAAGTGTGGCATGTGAGTGAATCCAGCCCTCTTCAGTCTGGTGCCGCTAAATAAAAGCCGGAGCACGCCGTCTGTTTCCCGATGAGGGAAGCAATGAAGAGAGAAAACAGCAAGAAAGATGGAAGGATGGTTCGTTTCTAGCAGGCGGAGCTGCTAGAAACGTGATGCAGCCATGGTGATGCAGCCATGCTGCAGGCAGCTGCCGCATGGGAACCGTTCTGCTGTCTCAATGACTGCTTCATCATCTCCACATGAAGTTTAGCATCCCTCTGGATTAGCTTAGCATTTCTCTGGGTTAGGTTATCTTCTGTCTCGGTTAGCTTAGCATCGCTCTGAATTAGCTTAGCATTACTCTGGGACAGTTGCTTACTGTCCCAGAGTAAGCAACTGGAGTAAGGACACTACCCTTTATTGTAGTGTTACTTTAGGGTATCTTAGCATCACTATAGGTTAAATTAGCACCATAGCATCCATCTGGGTTATCTTGCCATCTCTGGGTTAATTTAACAACCTAGCATACATCTATTGGAGCATAGCTATCTGTGGAGTAGCTTAGCATCCTAGCTCACATTTAAGGTAGTTCAGTATAGATGCAGGATAGCTTAGCATATATATGGTACTTTCGGATCTTTCTGTGATAACTTAGCGTCTTTCTCGGTTAGCTTAGCATTTGCTTGGAAAATTATTTTCTCTTTGTTGTCGTTTTAATCCCTCTGAATCTTTTGCCTCTGGGTTTGAGTTCGGCCTCCTTCTGGCTATTTCCTGCATTTCTAGGTGTTTTTTGTGTCTCTGTGAGGGAATTTAATGTCCCTTCCTCTTATTTTAGAGGCGACATGTAAATAAAGGCTATGAAGCGTGTAAACGGAGAGGTTTGATCCCTGACAGCCAGAGAGGAAATGAAGCTAAAGAAGAATGGAGGTCTGGAGGCAGCAGCTGCTGCAGCTGCTGCAGCTGCTCCGCCTCTTCCTGCCGGCGGGTCACGCCTCCAGGCCACGTGCCTCCTCCACACACGGCGAACAAAGAGACTGAGGGAAGCCCCGCCCCCCTCCCACCACCCGTCAGTGTGACGTCACATTGACCGGAAATCCCGCCCTCCCTCAGCCTGCCGAGATTTTTCTGTTTCTCTGGTTAGAATATTCATTTACATTAGATCACTTTTACCAACAACAATAAAACATTTTAATTCTTATTTAGGAACAAACTTTATGCAGGAAGGACAAAATCACAATGCACCAAGAAAGAGATGTTACAGTAAAGAAAACATTCCTTTCTTTTTCTTCTGCCTGTATCTGTTGCCACCTCTCTTGTGTTAATATCTGACATTAACACGACATTAATATCTGACATTAATATCTGACATTAATATCTGACATTAATATCTGACATTAATATCTATCCTTACCTGACGGGGTCTGTCTGCCGTTTCATCCCCTTCGTCCCGTCATGATAACCCATGGTAACCCCATCGTATTGGTTCTGTAACCTGTTTGTTGTATTTTAATTCATATATCTGGTTTATTGTCTGACTGATTATTTTGCAAACTGACTAAAGAAGAGCCAGAATCTGAGTAAATGGTAGATTTGAATGGTTTTATGTCCATTGAGCTGCTAAAAGCAAAGCTAGCATTTCTCCTGAATAAACTGAGACGCCATCATTTTAATCTTTTTCTCTACCTTAATTTGAAACAATAAATGCTGTCCCCTAACATGCTGCCACAACTCTCCTTATTCACTGCAGCCTTTCTGATTTCATGCTCTGAACATGAACTGCTCCATCGCTGCTCTCTGAAACCGCTCTGACAAGACAATTCATCTTCCATTTATCGTTCTCTGCATTAGTTTACATAAGTTGGATGTTAGCTTTCTGGTTTTGACTCATTTTCCCTGCTTTGGATCGGAATAATGTCTGCTTCCTTCCCCTCCTCCCATATGCAGTTATACGTTTGTAATGCAGCATTTTTAGAAAATTCACTTCAGTCACTAACCATAACTTCACATATTGATCTTTTTCTGGAGCTGATAACTTATAATATTCAGTTCTGTCATTGTAAACAACATATTCAATGGATCATTTGTTTCTCCCATTTGTGTAATAAATCCTTGTTCTCTAAATTTCTTTTTCTGTTTTTCTTTCTTTACTCAGATTTTTTTAAGAACTGTAAATTTTAACAAAAGTATTTAGCAACATTTTTGCCTTTTCTTTGTCAGTAACTGCTGTTATTTCTCCTTCATTTAATATTGGACTCTCTTTTCATCACATTCATCCTTTTAATTGTTGCACCTTAGAAATATCTCCCTCCCTCCTGAACTACAAAACTCCTCCAATAATCTCTTTTTGCATTTTTAAGAATTCCTTACATTTGCTTGAATTTTTTTGTATTCTTTCAGATTCTGAAAGTTGATTCTTTTTGAAAGTTTTATTTCGTTTCTTGATAACTTGCTGTCCACTAACCTTCCCCCCTTTCTTCCTCATAGGCTGATCAGCTGCTTCAAAGATACATATAGAAAATTTAAATCATCAATACTACTGTTCATATCCAGGTTCAACATTTTTCATTTCATTATTGTTCCTAAATGTTTCCAATCTGCAGGCCTATCTTTGTCCCTTTTATACAATAATTCTCTATTTCAGCCATAATAGGATAATGACCACTTCCTGCAGTTGTTTTATTGATCACTTGCCATAAACAAACACCTGCTATAGAATTTGAAACTAATGTTAAATCAATTGTTGACTGTATTATCTCTAAAATTAATTCTGGTTCCACTTCCATCATTTATACAGAGCAAAGTTTCTCCTCCATTATTTCTTCTATTAAATCCCCATTTTGATCATGATGATGCTCCATAACGAGTTATGCCCATTAAAGTCCCACACCAAATAACTTTACCCTCTAAATAAACACCAAGATGCTCCATTAAATCTATTGAAAGTCTTTTACATGGATTATACAAGTTGATTATTTTAAATTGTCCGTTTACTGTCCAAATAACTGTCAGTAACAACAGATTCTCTCTTCCTTTAGCCAACAGTCTGAACTGAATTCCCTGTTTTATGAATGTTATAAACCCAGATCCTCCCTCTGTCTCTTCTAACGCTGTCATATCATTTCAGAACAAAATCAAGATTTGGTTTCAGCCAACTTTCCTGAATACATATAATGTCTGGATCTTCTTTAAATTCTCCAATAAATCCTTTAAACTCTTGTCCTTTAGCGAAAAGGCGTCCAGCGTTCCACTGAACGATGATCCGTTTCTGTCTTCCTGTCCTTCTAGTCTCATTTATGTCCTTGACAGCAAAAAGCTTCTCTGTCCTTTCACAGTAATTTGGATTTTTTTCTGTTTTGTGCTTTACTTGATCTGCACAATGAATTGCATCAGCAATGAACAGCAGAATCTTTTCAACTGTTAACAGTTTCAGTTTCACTCTGTCTTTCTTCTGGTTTTGGATTCGGCTGAATTTTCCTTATCACATCTTTTAGCTTCACTGTTTTAGCTTCTGTATAACTTATATTATTAGTGACTTCAACTAGTTTGATTTCCATGCTTTTCTTCTGACCTCGTCCTCCATAAGTCACCCTGTGTTATCCTCCACAGTTACCTTCCCATTTTTACATTCATCATAGTGATGCTCGCCTCCACACTTTGGGCATCTTTGTTTTCCCCTACATGCTGCTGCAATGTGTCCGTATCTCTGGCATTATAACCCTGAGGGGAGGAGGGATATGAGGCCTTACAGGAAGCACTTACACCTGACCTTTACCCTTTCAGGAAGAACATTTGTTTGAAACTCCAGCATCACAGAGAGACTTTCAGCTGTTCTCATCAATCTTTGGACACCCTGAGTGAGACGTTTCTGTTTGGACTGACTCAGAAATTCAGCTTCAAATGATTCACGTCATCTGAAAACACCAAGCAAGGAAAACAATCCAAACCTCTGGAATTAAACGCAACACAACAGGGTCACCAGAGGTCAACGAGCCGGACTGATCAATCACTGATCAGAGAGAGAGCCAGCTTCCTGTCACGTTTCACATCTCTTCACCCAGATTATCCTGGAGTCAGCGTTAGCATAGTCTGGAGACATCTTCCTTCAATGCTTCTCAACTCCAGGAAGCAGGATCAGTAAGAGTGTGTGTGTGTGTGTGAGTGTGTGTGTGTGTGTGTGTGTGTGTGTGTGTGTGTGTGTGTGTGTGTGTGTGTGTGTGTGTGTGTGTGTGAGTGTGTGTGTGTGTGTGTGTGTGTGTGTGAGTGTGTGTGTGTGTGTGTGTGTGTGATAATGCTACCTGGATTCAACTTCCGGTCTGATAACAACAAAACTCCAGCTTCCTAGGGAGCCGGCAAGATGGCGGCGTGAGTAGTCGATCTTTACAAGCTCTTCCAAGAATGTTTTAATAAGGAGCCTTTATAGCTACTTTAATACAGGGAAACACTTATTTTGAGACCTTTGCTAGATATTGTGTTCAAATAGACACTCCGAAGACTTCAAAGAATGGCTGCTAGTGGTAAACGTAAATCCGTGAGCACAGAAAGTACACCAACTAAAAGTCACAAGTCGGCGGAGGACCAGGACCTCGCTGAAAACATTATAGCAGCTTTAAAGTCGACGATAAATGAGAGAGCGGACGGTCTTCAAGCCAGCATAAATGAGCTAAAAGATTCGGTGGATTATATTCATGCCGAAATGAAAGAAAAGATGACAGAAACCGTGAGGAGAGTGGAGAACTCGGTAAAAAGGTGCTGCAGGTGGAAAGATGGCGGCGAGCTGCTCGAGCTTTCACGTTATAAAAGAAGATGGACCTTGCGTCTTTCAGGATTAACTGAAGAAGAAAGGGAAGATGTTCGCAAGAAAGGTTATTTCCA